GGATAACCGCATTGCTGCTCTCTCTCACGCCTAGGGCCCTCATCAATGCAGTTCAGGCAAAGGTGGACTACAAAGAAGAGCAATTCCATGAATGAGAAGGGATTGTCCAAAAGACCAGAGGTATGTAGCATGAAAAATCTTGTTTGGTAGAGACAGACTGAAGGATGACTATGTTTGCTCTAAGTTTCCTAATTTCGGATTTAAATTTTGATCCACCCCATGAGCCATGATAGCTGGCTTGATAGACAATGGCTTGTAGAAATAAAGACAGTTAGGGTCTGACCCTGTGCAAAGCAAACGTAGAATTAAGAAGAGAATGAGACATTGGGGTCTTACATGATTAGCAAAGCAGTTCCTCTGCTCTGCTTTGGCCGCTGCAGCTTGATGAAGAGCCTCTTCATCCTTTAAGGAGACATTCTCCTCAAAGAGCTGCAGCGTGCTGCCAGTCTTCAGAGGGCGCGCTTCTCGAAGTCCTCTGAGAAGTTTTCGACCACCCCTGAAACTACAAACAGACATCATAGTTGGGGAGAGGGAGATGGGTGCACGTGTTTCAAATCTTGAAAGAAAAGCAGTAGGCAAAACGAACAGGAACGCCAACTTTTTAGCAGCCGTTTAGCAACTTTTACTTTAGAACACATCAAGCACAGAGCATTCGACTTGTGGAAACCTGAAAGCCACGCTTAAAAGCTAAGGTGTTGTTACGTCCCCAAATCCAAACTATCTTCACAAATGGAGAATAGGAAGCTCCTGCTTTTTCATCATGGATGAATGCTGCCCATATTTTTGATATCCTAGTTTTAGATTTGGGTTGTCTCCATCATCAGTTATCTTCTCTAAACATAGGAGACCGTTCTGTTGTGTTTTGCTCCAAAAGTGTTTAATGGGCTTCGGGCACTCCTCCATAACACAAAGATAAAACGGAGAAAGCCGAAAGCTTGTTTGGCATGGATAAGAACACCACGTTCTTTTCCTGGGCAGCATCAGGGCTGCCCTGATGACACAAATGTGGTTGCCCCTCGTCACAATAGAGATCGAGTGCACTCAACTAAACAAGAAAGCAGATCCAAGTGGTCAGACTCACCTTTGGCATTGCTGTTTTCTCCATTTTCTGAGAGCGTCTCAGAGACTGCCCTCCTCCTTTGAATATCGGACTCCGCTATGCCTGGATTGCTCTCAGGCTCGCTAGTCCGAGCTGGTGACAGTGAGGTCGTCGCACTTTCTGCTCCCTGTTAGAAGACGTCAAGGGGATGGGAGTTAGAAGCGCCTGGTAGGAGACTGATAGGGTTCTCGGGGCAGAAATGACAGGAAGCAGCAGCAGATTGGAAGGGGGTGCTGTTCTGGCAGCAGTGTTCTCCAGGATGCTCTATGGTCAATTTCTGTGGCACTGCAGGTTGTGAATGGTGCATTCATGTGCTGCTTAGCTGATAGCTCATCGCACCATGGTGCTTAGCAGTATCTCGCACTTTCTATTTGCCGTGGTCTCCTTGCAAAACAAGGAGATTTGGCACACTTGCACATGCTTTCCTCATGTTGACAGAAGTGCTAGAATCACAAGGCCACAGTGGTGGTGGGGGAATCGATTCTCAAGTGCAGAACCTTCTTGCACTCACCTTCCTGCCACCCAGGTTCTCGACGTGGCTCTGAAGCTCCTTGTCAGAAACGGGAAGGTTTCAGTCTCTTCAG